CCCTGGGCCGCCGCCGCCGCCCTGGCCCCCGCCGCCGCCCCCCGGCAGGTCCACCTCTATGGTCTCCCCCTCCAGCTCCCCCGCCCTGAGATGGTTGAATCGCATGTTTCAGATGTGTTGTTCAGGTGTGCGACTCGTAAATGATTTAATGTTGTCTGCAGCTGAGGATTTGCGGAAGGCAGGGCTCGGGGGTTTGCGCCCCAGACATGATGCTGCAAGGGGCATCAGTGTTTTTTTGGGGGGGGGCTCGCGTCGTCCTCCTCCATGGGTTGTGCTGACGGGAGGCAGCATGAGCATCGGTGGTTGCTTGGGATGGTGCGAACGAGCGAGTGTCATGAAAGACGGTCCCCGAATGAAGTTTACTTTGAGAAGGGGGTTGAGGCATGGAAGGGGCCATCAACCACCACGTGTGCCTGTGCCACACGTGGGCACGCACACCCGTGCTCACACACCGACACACACTCACACACACACACGTACACTCTGTCTCTCTCTCACTCCCTCTGCCAATTACCCCCTCACTCTCCCTTCCAAACTCGCTCTCTCTCGCATGAATTATATACACATACACACATTCACGCACGCCTCTTGCCCGTTCACAAACATCCATTCTCACAGCCCACTACACACGCACACACACGCCTCTGCAACAACGAGCAAACAACCATCCCAGCCACGAGGCAGCACCCTTCACGCCTACCCACCTGTATTTGGCGCGCAGCTCCTCCAGCCTCTCAGGGCCGGCTGAGGGGTGGGCCTCCAGCAGCGCCCGCAAGATGAGCTCCTCAACCGCCTCTGACACCTGGGGGTTCGGAGGAGGGGGTTTGAATGGGTGGGTTTGTGGGTGCGCGGGTGGGTGTGTGGGTGAGTGCGAGAATGGGTAAGTAACTACGAGGGTGGATGAAGTTCTCTGCGCCAAAAGCACCACTGCCACCCCCACGCTCCTCGGGCTCGACGCTCATCAAGGCGGACCAAGGCGGGGCAGGGTGGGACAGTCCAGAAGGCGCGGATGGCGAGCGCGCGGCCTCGGCGCGAGGTGGAGTTGTTTGCCCTGCAGCCCTGCGGCCGCTTTCCGTGAAGCGCACAAACACTGGCGCCGGCCCGTACCAGCCCACCCCGCTTTTGCCCAGCAGCGGGCCCCACCCCCAAAGCGACAAGGGCCAGTTGTGCGCCTGACTTGCCGCGGGCCCGCGCTCCGTCCCATACAACCCCAAACAGCTGCATGATGACACCCCTGACGCTCCGCCGCAGAGAACCCCAGACATCCCCCCTCTCAAACCCGCAAACCTGCAACCCCTGTCCTATCCGCCTAAAAAAACCACGCATGCGCGTATGCCGGAGCCTTCGCTCCGGCGCCCCGTGTCCCCGCACCTTGCTGGCGGCGCGCTCCCGCAGCTTGCCGCGCACCAGCAGGGCCGCATTGTCCAGTAGATCCCGCACTATGCTGTCGACGTCGCGGCCGTGGAAGCCGACCTCGGTGAACTTCGTGGCCTCGACCTGCATTTTTGTGGGGGAGTGTCAGTGTTGATATGTGTGTGTGTGTGTCATTGTGTGTGTCTGTGTGTGTGTGTGCGTGCATGTGTGCGTGTGTGTGTAGCTGTTTGATCTTCAACATGCGCCTCTTGTGCATTCACACGTCCTCTGTGCCCCTCACACGTGCACACACACACACACACTCACGCACTTGCACGCACCCACACACACACTCGCGCACATGCACCCACCACACACACAACCACAAGCACCACACAGCAATCAACCCTTTGTGCAGCTCCGCCCCCCCAGCACCGCGCACCTTGACAAAGGGCGCGTCCGCCAGCTGCGCCAGCCGCCGCGCGATCTCCGTCTTGCCGCAGCCCGTGGGGCCGATCATGAGGATGTTCTTGGGGCTGATGTCAGGCTGCAGCTCCTTGGGCTGCACGCGGTGGCGCCGCCACCGGTTCCTGCGGGCCGCAGGGGCGGCGCGTTTTGCGGGGCGGTCTGTGCAGGCAGCGTGGCGCGGCTTCGACCGACGTTGGGCCCCGCCTTTTCGCATCCGCGCCGCTTCCGGGAGAAGCAGGGGCGCCACCCGGCTCGGACGAGCCCGGCTGCAAGCTAGCTGCAGCAGACTCCCGCCCGGCGCCCCGTGACAGGCCTTCTCAGGGGGGAGACGGGCGTCTCGCCAGCCCGGGTCCCCCTCCACTCGCTGGTTGTCGCCTCAAAAGCGGAGCGTTCGTGGGTGCTCGCACCTGAATGCCACCGCCACTGCCTTTTTTGCGTCCTCTTGGCCCACTATGAAGCGCCCCAGCCACTCCACAACAGCCGCGGGCGTCAGGCG